CTGATTTTCCAGGGTGCGTAGCCCAAACACGGTAAATAAAAAAATCCCATTACGGAAAAGGGAAAATTAAGCACTTTTTAAAAACACCCAGGGAAAAAAGCACTTTTAAGGTCTTTTAAAAAACGAAAATTGAAAATAAGCACTTTTTTAAAAAGCTAAGCACCCTGTTTTCCCACACAATTCTTGTTTTTTTTCCCCTTAACCTGTGAAAACCAGTAGATTCTATAAACATAATATTAAGAATGGTCTTCAAGCAACTGAGGAAGAAACTTACTTTTACTCGAGGAGAATTCAACTTTAGAAATTTCTTCACTATCAGAAGAGCAAAATCAACTTCTTGGTCTCTTTCATGAACCTAGTGTTGCATAAAATGTTCTTAGTTTAAATCAGAGCATTATAATATGGAATCATACAAGCAAATAAATAGAGCTTATGAAAACCAGCCACTAGAGTCATAAAAATTAATAAATTCGTTTTTAGATAAATTCAGGGTATCTGCTACATTAGGGGTGCTCAACCTTTTTGAGTGAAGGGCCATTTGCACAGCAGGTTGACTAACGAAGGGCCGCACATGTATTGAGACATGTTAATGACAAATGTAGTAATGTTTATTTAAACATTAGCATTCAATTTTTTTTATCAATAAACTTAGTAATATATTTGTAAAAAATTAAAGGTGTTTTTAATCATATGAACAATAGATTTATCAAAATAAATGAACATTGAAGAAAAGAAATGTTTTTTATCTTATCATGCAATACGAAAATTCATTTTAGAATTACAAGGCGCATCCAGAAAATAAGTTTCCTTATTTTTTTTAAAAAAAGAACTCATACTTTCAGGAGCATATTTATTGACAACAAGTACAGCAATGTTTCAGCTATTTTTTTAACATAGCCACCACCAGAATTGAGACACTTGTCGTATCGTGGGATCAACTTTTGTATCCCTCTATCATAGAACTCTGCCGTCTGTAAATGGAACCAGCGTGTGACAGACGTCTTCAGATCTTCGTCGTTGCCAAAACGCTCACCGGAGGACAGGAATTTCTTGAGGTGCAAAAAAACATGAAAATCGCTGGGAGCAAGATCAGGGCTGTAGGGTGGATGATCAAACAACTCCCATCCAAATTTCGTCAAAACAGCTGCTGTGCGTCGAGCCGTATGTAAAAGAGCATTGTCATGGAGGAGCACAACACCTGCAGTAAGCATTCCACGCCTCTTGTTTTGAATGGCACGTCGCAATTTCCACAGTGTTTCACAGTAACGGTCAGCGCTTACTGTTTTACAACGTGGTTCCATTCACAGGCGGCAGAGTTCTACGACAGAGGGACACAAAAGTTGAACCCATGATACGACAAGTGTCTCAATTCTATGTTGCTATGTTGAAAAATAGCTGAAACATTGCTGTACTTATTGCCAAAAAATATGTTCCTGAAAGTATGAGTTCTTTTTTTTAAAAAAATAGGGAAACGCCTTTCTGGATACGCTTCGTAAATTCTAATAAATAAAAAAAACTGCAATGCCCACAGAATGAAAGTAGGAAGAAAAATTAGTCATAATTAAGTAATATGAATTCAAATTAAATATTTTAATTGAAGAAAATTTATAGGTTTTAAATAAAAGCCGAAAATAAAATTCAATGCTTATTTCGTAATGTACTTTATTATTTCATTTTATTAATTATTAGATTTTTTTTCTACCGTAAAAATTTTCCTTTTTCTTTTATCGAAAAAGATCAATTAGGCAACAAAAAATTGAAATCTAAACTACAAACAGTGAGCAGTTTAAAAATTCACGTTTTCCGCCATTTTATGAATTTCTCAAGTTGCAATAACATTGCATTTAAATTAGGGATGTAACGAGTATTTGTCCCTTCTGTGAAAAATTCAGTTGGCTGAATGATCAGTCAAATATTCGGCTGAATATTTTTTAGAAATGTATTTTTCTAAGTTTTTTTTTATTTTGAATTTTTATAGATATTACTTTTTTTTAAAAAAAATTATAATCAGACAAGTCAATTTTGTCATTTTTTCGATACTTCGAAAATTGAAAAGGATTTTTTTCCATTTTTTGCTGTTTTTTATTTTAACCCAGCATTTTAACAGAACGTCTCATAGTATTAATTTATTATCACTCTTTCCCTGTACTGTAATATAAATAACCCAGTAACATGGAAAAGTGTGATTTTCAGTCTTAAAGTTTTGTTTCTGGAACTAAGAAAAATTTGTTTTTTCTGTTTTTCAATTTTAGGCATTTTTATTATGACTCAGCATTTGTTTTAAAAATAAAGTTACTAATAAAATTTATTTTATAGCAATTTTTTTTCTTCTAAAATTATGGCAATGAGAAAAATTTAAATTGAGATTTTCGGCATAAGTTTTTCATTTTAAAAATTAGGAACGTTTTTTCTATCTTTTTATTTTCTTTAAATAAAAAAAAAACTTTTTTAGACGTTTTCATTATAACGCAGTAATTTTTAATAGCATTTCTGATGACTTAATTCTTTTTTCTTGGCTTTTTCTGGTAATTGAAAAACTAAGATGTTCAGCTTTAAAAAATTTTTTCAAAAATTAAGATTGATTTTTATGTTCTCTGTTTCGCTTTTCGACATTTTCAAAAACGTTCTTGATTGACGTTCGTCTTGATTGACAAAAACGTTCTTTTTAGAGTTAATTTATGAATACGTTTTTCCAGGAAATATTATTCTGAGCATTAAAATTTTAGTTTCAGTGTTACTATGCTGCTAAAAGATTTTGCTATTTGGCCCCAAGTGTACGGCGTTCAATCGATTTTTCCTTCCTTTTTTTTTGCCGAATATTTGGTTTTTGACCAAATCACAATTCATTACCACATTCGACCAAATCATATTCGTTGCGGAAAAAAAACGAAGGAAAAATAACTAGGATTTACGATAAAACTGCACCGAAATGCAGTATCAAAAAGTGATTATTTAATTGCGCGATTAACAATCGCGTGTCGTAATAACATATTTAAATAACGGGATCGTCAAAATCATGTGGAAAAGTATAGAAATAGTTGAGGGAAAAAATTACTTATATTTATGCTGATCTCAGCACGTATAAAGCGTGTCAAATGCACGATCTAAAATTTGCATGTCGTAATTGAATAATTGGAATTTTTTATGATACGTGGGAGTGCATAGCAATAACTGCCAAAAAAAAGAAAGAATTGCCAAAAAAAAAAGATAAAAAATCACTTAGATTTAAGATGAAATCGTCACAAATAAAATGCACCAAAAAGTGATTATTTAAATGAACGATCTGAAACTCTCGTCGTAATAAAAATTCGGGATTTTCGAAATCACGTACAAAAGCGGAAATAACTTTAAAAAAAATCATTTATATTTACGATAAAATCGACTTAAAGAAAGTGCGTTAAATGTACATTTACTAAGGAATCTGTTAAAATTGATTGTGTCAAAACGTGATGACTTAAAAGTGCGATTAAAAATTGCCATTTTTAAATTTGTTTTTATTGCGCTTAGAAGCTCTCGCGGGCCGCACTTCAGTAGTCGAAGGGCCGCATTTGGCCCGCGGGCCGCAGGTTGTGCAACCCTATGCTACATTTTAGATTTTCAAATTGATGATTTTTCATGATTTTCCATACTAATTCCAAGAATTTTTCATGACTTACCGAAGTTACTATTTTCTCCGACAAAAACAACAATAAATTTGAAAAAGCATTATAATAACATTCATTGAAATGATACATTATAACCAAAACTGTTATTCTCTGCATCTTCATATTTATTGATTTTAAATTTAAAAAACAAAGTAATGAAAGAGTTGAAGCAGTAAAATAGCTGAGCAAATAATTTTTTTTTCTTTTTTTCTGCAAAATTACATTATAAAGATACTTTTCTTGTTCATCGGAAAGGGAAGAAATACTCCTGATTTTTCTGTTCTAATTTCGGAATAAAAAAATTTGCCAATGACTGGTTTGCTTCAGCTAAAATTTTAAATTGATAAAGTAAAAAAAAAAAATAATAACAAAACTTCTGAAATCACAGAAGTTTAAAAGATAATTCGCTCTAGAAATGATGTTTTCTTTCATTTTTTGAAAGAACACCATAATTTTTAACGAACACGATAAAAACATTTTATATCTTAATCAAATGTAACTGTGAGTGGGGATTTTGTTACAAATTCAGATATTCGGAACACTATGAAATTGGGGAAGGGGGTAAATTCCATTTTAAAAGTTAGATTTTTCAACGACCTAAATCCATGACTTTAAGATTTTTTTTTTTAAAAAAATAGTTAAAATCATGACATTTCATGACAAATTTTGTTCAATACTAAAATTCATGACTTTGCATGATTTTTCATTACTTTCCAGATGCGCGGATACCCTGTAAATTTACCCAAAGTCAAAATTCTTGATGGTTTATGTTGGTTTCAGAGCGACTTATAAGTGTCACCATCATCCATCATTATGAATTCATGGTGTTTGACATGCCAACAAACTTCCATCATTCCATGTTGTAAAATGCTACTTTAATACTATGATAGTTTACCATCAAGAAAAGTTTGATTTCCATGAATCAACAGTCGACGATGTTGGTTTAATGTGAATTCTTGTTGGTTCTCAGGAACATACCATCAAAACAATTTGGGATTTTTTAAGTTGGACCATCATAAATCACTCTGAATTCCTACATGATGGTTGTTCATAATCATTCGTGATGGTCCATACTGGTACAACAATACATTTCTATGGTTGTTTAATGGAAAGTCTTGTTGGTTCAGCAGGAATATACCATCAAATACATTTGGTTTTCTTTTATGCTTCTTTTATAAACTTTGATGCAAATTTCTGATGGTTCAACATAAACAAATCATCAAAACAAGTTGTTATTCTTATGTTGAGCCATATAAATCAGTTCCAATTCCTACATTAGGGGTGATAGTTACTTGTGTTGGTTATCATGAAAAATATATAATGGTTCATGATGGCATGATTGGTCCATCAATGGAAAACCACAAAAAATTTTGGAAATAAATGTATTTGACTGAAATTAGTTATAATTTACATTATTGTTCTTTTTTTATAAATTTTTTTTTAAATATTTCACTAGGCACTTGTCAGTCTATATATATATACGAGCTCACAGCTTTGTGGTTACAAACTGTCCTGCACAAAATTCACAACTTCCAAAATCAGGGGTGATTGTGAGCTCAACTCAAAAATTCCGAAAATATCTTGAGTCAAATCATGAATGACGCATTTCAAAAAATGAATGTCTTTATAAATTTAAATCATTGATATTTTCACAATATGAAACACTAAATAAACTATATGCGGCATAATTTAAATTAATAATTACTTATAAGTTTACTTTTATCTCTAATTGTGAGCTATCACAAACCCTGCAAAGCAAAGGACTTCGTTTATTTATATTTATGTTTTTGATGTAATTTTTTGCTCATATTTATGTTTTTAAAATTTTTTGCGAAATTTTAACGTTTGTAATCAGGGTGCATAGCCAAATATTTCAACAAAAAATAAGCACCTCTTAAGTACCTTTTAAGCACCCCGAAAATATTTTTAAGCACTATATACACAAGAATCTCACAGAACCCAGCTCAGTATATGCACATGTGAACTCACAAGTATTTCATCAAACATGTAAAATGATTGGCGCTTTCATACGCTATGGACCAAAATAGATTGTAATTGAATAAATTATGAAAATGTTGAATAGCACAATATGAAAAGTACATTTTTGCATAAAACGTGATGAAATTTGACATTGTAAAGAAAAAATTCTCATTTTCGAAAAAGGAAAATTAAGCACGTTTTAAAAACACCCAATGAAAAAAGCACCTTTAAGGGCTTTTAAAAAACGAAAATAAACACCTTTAAGCACTTTTTAAAAATGCTACGCACCATGTTAATGTTCTAATGTTTATAATCTTCTAATGTTTTTATGTTACACATTTTATTGAATATTAATTTATGTTCCATGTTTGATCTCCGAGTATGCTTGCGTGAAGTGTCTGCACACTCCAGGGAATGAATAAATGTATCATCGAGTGCTGCTGCTAAAATTAAGTCAGTTATAATCCATGGTTAAAACCAATGAAAATTTGACACATGTAAAAAAAAATTTAATTTTTTTTCTTCAAAACAATTGGTAAAGGAAGTGGTTAAGAACTGATGAAATAAAATAGAATGAAACATATTAAGATTGATATTTTGAAATCCTTTATGAAAAGGCATGTATGAAAAAGGATTACTTCATCAATTATGACGTGAGTTAGTGAATGTCCATCCTTTTAGCATTCACTAACTTTTCCAACAAGACACCCGTCGTGACATAGGAAATGCAAGTAGAAGAAGAAATCTTCTGATCCATGGCTACCTGAAAAAGAAATAAAATTTCATTTCAAAATTATTTTACGCATTGCATGTTTCAATGATCAGTCTTTTTAGAATACAATTCTGTGAATTTTAACACAAGTCAGTACCACTCCCGGGCAGTGTCCGGGGTCCCCAAGCACTCAGGGGTCCTTGAGAATCTTACTTTTTATGTATTCAGGGGTCTGTTTAGAAAAAATTTGTGTCCGTTAACAAACCTTTCACAAAATGTCTGGACAGACATTAAAAAAAAATTAAGAGCAAAAACACTTCAAAAGATATTTTTATTCTAGTATAAAAAGCGTGATTTTTTTTCTCTCGATAAATAGTGATGGATAATCCATGCAAACCCCAATAATTCGTATAGTTTATCGCCAGGAAAACTTAAAAAGTCAATCAAAATCCATTTTTCCACATTAAAATGAAGCTTTTAGGTACTCAACTAACTTTTATAGATATGTTTAACTACCACCAACTCCATTTAGTATTTATAATTAGTTAAATAAAGTAATTGAAACAGTCAAGAATGAGAGAGCACTACAGGACAGTAACTTTTAAACTGGTTGTGTCTGATGTGCATTGAAAGATGTTTTAATAACTGACTTTAATAGTATGACAAAATAATTCAAACCTTTGAAGTCCTTATGTTTTTTTTTAAAAATTTATTTTAATTAACTTGGTTCTTAAAATTATTTCATTATTTGAGGATTGCAATTGGTTATCTATTTTTTTTTTATTTTTTAATTATGCTCAGTTTGAAAATGCTTTATTTTATGTGCATTGAGAATTTGGGGTGATAAATTTGTGTTTGTTAAAATTATTGCGCACCTTATAAATGCTTTATTTTTTATGTATGTGAGGTTTTCTNTTTATTTTTTAATTATGCTTAGTTTGAAAATGCTTTATTTTATGTGCATTGAGAATTTGGGGTGATAAATTTGTGTTTGTTAAAATTATTGCGCACCTTATAAATGCTTTATTTTTTATGTATGTGAGGTTTTCTAAGTTCAACAGTATTTTAAAACAGTATGACATGTTATAGGGGCAAAAAACATTTCTGTGACCAGGGGCTCTGCTTGCTATCAAGACGGTTCTGTCACAAGTCTAAATCATTCAGACACTATTTTCTTATCTTGGTAACTGAATCAAATTCTCATATGGAGTCATTATTAGCATTGATAATCACATTATTAAGGACTTCCTTATCACAAATTAACTGTTAAAAAATACCTGTTACTGGTGGGTAGAAACATTAAACACAGTTCATGAAAATCCAATCAATAAGAGCATAGCCCCCAGGCACAAAAACAGTTTAGACTATCAATAAGAGGCAAAAACAGTTTAGACTCATATAACATGCCATGATGTTTAAAAACGAACTAAAAAACTTCACAAACATAAAATAAATCATTATGAAGGTATTAGGCAATAATTTTAATAAATTTAAACAAATTTTGATAACCCCAAAAACTCAAACTAAGCATTTTTAAACTATGCATGATTGTTCTTTTTTTTTTTTTTTTTTAAATATATGCTAACTAGTTGTAATCCTCAAATAATAAAATAATTTACAAAAACATGGAAGTTAATTAAAATAATCAAATTAAATAAACATTAAGGTATAACTAATAAAATAAAAAAATCGAAAGGTGCGAAATATTTTGTCAAACTAAAACAGTTATTAAAACATCTTCTAATGCCCAAAAACCTCAAATTTTCAAGAATACCTAAAGTTTTCATTGGAATGTAGAAAAATAGAATTCGTTTGCCTTTTTAAGTTTTACAAATATGCAATCAATCATTAGACGCAGAAAAAAAATGTACACTTTATGCAATAGAGTATATTCAATTTAAAAAATATATAATGCAATGTTGTTTATTCTTAGCTTTTTTTTTAATACAATTTACAAAAAGTAAGATACTTCTTGATTACCACAAAAATTCAATGTATATAATAATGTANTATGCATAATTTAAAAACAAATTAGGATTGTAATCAGTTGCAATTTTCGAATAATAAAATAACTTTGAAAACCATGAAAGCGAATGACAGTAAAATAATAGCATAAAGGTATAACAAATGAGTTGCCATCAAAATGTATGAATTAATTTCCTCACGCTAGTCACTTATTAAAACATCTTACAATGCACATCAGATACAACCAGTTTAAAAGTTGTCCCAAAGTGCCATGTTAACTATTTCAATTAGTACTTTATTTAATTAATTCTAAATACTAAACAGAGTTGGTGGTGGTCACGCATTTTTAGAACTATTATGACTTAAACATAAAACTTGTCGAGTACTTAAAAACCTTATCGCAATGTAGAAAAATATGTCGGGCAATCATATTTTTCTATGTTGCAATAAGGTTTAACTCAAATGAAACCTGGTCACTAGTGTAAAGTAACGGTAACGATTTTATTAACTCACAAATGTTGTCATACACAGTACACATACTCAAAAACAGTTGTCAAAACTGTTGGCACATTTATCCCATTGCGACACTAGCCGGACGATTCCATCTTTGAAGGAGCTAGCAAGCTGCGGTCTGACCCATCCCTGGAGCCAGTCACACACACACGTCGTCATCCGTTGTGAATCATCATACACAGTACACATACTCAAAAACAGGCGTCAAAACTGTTGGCACATTTATCACATTAGGACACTAGCCAGACGATTCCATCTTTGAAGGAGCTAGTAAGCTGCGGTCTGACCCATCCCTGGAGCCAGTCACACACACGTCGTCATCCGTTGTGAATCAATATCCGCGAATAGCTTATTTCAGAGGTCCAAAAATATGAAAGTCGTATGGTGAAAGGAAAGGTCTGGACAGTACGGTGGATGTTCCAGCGTTTCCCACCAAAACTGCTGCAATGTCTACTTCCCCACATTGGCATGAACGATAACTTGTTTGACCACCTTATCTTCGACGTGCAACCATACTGTCGCTATGCAACGGCAGATGTTGAGCATGCGTCAGTCCCTTTACCAATAGGTGGTGCCGTCAAACTTGCGGTTACGTGGCCCTCCATTACGTCAAATGCAAGGCTAGACAGACTCATAGATTTCGGGGTGCTTTTCAAGTTTTCTTGGTGGTAAACTATTCCAATTATTGGTAAGTGTTATCAATAACTGTTTATGATAATCAATGATGTTATGATAATCAGTAATGTTATGATAATCAATGACTATTTATAGAAAGAAAAACAAAATGCAAACTTCATACACTAGAAGAAAAAAAAAATTTTTAAATGTATAAGGCAATGTTGTTTATCACATTTTTTTCTTTAATACAATTAATGAACAGTAAGATTATCAAGGGCACTCTGAGTGCCTGGGGCCCCAGGGCACAGCCCAGAAGGCTCATGCAGGATACGTAGCCAAATCTTTCAACAAAAAAAAGCACCTTTTAAGCACTCAAAAAATATTGTTAAGCACTACATACATAAAAAAAATTCAAAATAATNGCACTACATACATAAAGAAAATTCAAAATAATTTTCAAAAACTTTACATGATCATGATATAATAATTAGTTTCTGACAAAGAACGCTTTTCTTGATTATATTAGCCATTATAAAAAAATTGAGAGATTTTTCCGTTCAATATCAAAGGGTGGAAAACGAAGTCTGAAGTTGAGAATATCTTGCAAAATGCAGCAGAGTTGAAATGATGGTGCAAAATCCTCACCGAACCCAGCTCAGTATATGCACATGCAGATTCGCAATCCCTGTGGCAGAATTTTTTCGGGCTTTCAGCGACATACCTCACTAATACTGATATCTTTTTGCAAGATACTTATAAAAACAACAAATATATATAGGTTACTAATTTAAAGTAACAGAAACGTCAAAAAAAAAAATTTCGCATCAAATAAAAAAAATTTTTACTCTAATATTAGGGGCGATATTCTTGCATTTTGTCGGGGTAAAACACACTTATTTCTTTTTTCACATTTTGTAATTCATCCTCTCTTCCTCTCAATAAAAAATTTAAAAAATCGCGATATTAGTAGCAGTAGTAATAAAATTCAATATAATTTTCAAAGACTTTACACAATCATGGTAAAAATAACTAGTTTCAGACAAAGAACCTTTTTCTTGATTATATTAGCTAGTATAAAAAGATCGAGAGATTTTTCAGTTCGATTTCAGAGGGTGGAAAAATGCAGCCTGAAATTGAGAATATCTTGCAAAATGCAGCAGAATTTCACACGAGAGAGCTAAAATCTTACCAAACCCAATTCAGTATACGCACATTTGAACTCGCAAATATTTCATGAGTGTCGTATTTGGGTTCCTACACTGTATATTATTTGATGATCTCCCAAGTAAAACAGAATCTTTACCTAATAACCAACTCTTGTGCCAGTTTCCCAGTTCCTCTCTTTAAGAGTGACAATAATGTTGCAGTACCTTCCATGAGACTGATGGTGGTCGAGTATATACTGGGGAACTTGGGTAGTCTTGCCGCAAACCAGTCGGTCCTTGAATAATTAACACAGGATTGATATCCAACTGTTGTAATATCTAGAAATTAAAAAATTACATTAGTTTGAAAAAACAAACATACTAGTGTCATGAAAAAAATAACTTTTAAAAAAACTCAGCACAGGATCCGGACTTAGCCTAATTGGGGCAAAAACTTCATTCACTTTTTCAGTAATGAAGAACCGAACTTTATTGAGGTATTTAAATTTTTCACCTCATTATAGATAACATAACAAGAAAATTGACTAGAACCTAATATAGACACAGAAAAATTTACCTCTACCAGCCCTTATTTAGGGCATACGGGTAAGTGTTTATTAAAATAAAATAAAAAAAATAATCCAAAGAACAGTACAAACATAAAATACATATCAGACATGGCAAACAGCCCACAAACATGGCGGGCATAGAACAGCAAAAATTATGTAAGGTGATAAAACATTAAAACAGCAAAATATTAGAAGTGTCAGTAAAAAGAACAATTTAAAAGATAAACATGTAAAATTTACAAAAGAGCAACATAGTATAACATATTAAATAGTACAAAAGTAATTACAATAAAATTGGAGAAAGTAGAAGAGTTTATAAAAGAAATAATAAAAGTTACAAAACTATAAGGTCAATAAAATTGAGACACCCAAGCAGGAACGAGCAAGTTCCGAGACCATTAAAG